TGGCTCCGAGATGTTCGGAGGGTTTCAGCACGCCCTGGTTCCATCTGGTCAGCAAAAGCAACCCTAAACCCTAAACCCTAAACCCTAAACCCTAAACCCTAAACCCTAAACCCTAAACCCTAAACCCTAAACCCTAAACTCTCGCTATGAGTGGAGACTCGACGACTCTCCCTGGGTCGTGGCCCCGAGGTCTGCTGAGCAAAAGCCTTGGCCTGCCCCCTGTCCATGCGCTGGTTTGGTAAATGTAAGATAGTATACATTGTATTGATACATGTGCGTAGTTAGTGTATACTTAGTCCAGGGTTCAAGATAAGCATCGGGGATCACAGAAACAGCGCCTCGGAGTCTGTAGTGGCATAGAAAGGTGGAGCTGCTGAAAGCATCATGTAGACCAGCACGCCTTGCACGCAAGTCTCGGGTCCCAAGCATAAGAGTGGACGAAGACGGAAGAAATCATCGGGGAGCAGTGGGTGGTTGAGCTGCTTACTCCCACAAGGCTTGCTTGCAACTTGCAGTCGAGCACATAGCCCGCCCGCCTGCAGACCACATGTCCACGGGCATGCTGTACCTAGTGCCAACCTGGGCAAGGGTGTGATGTCACTCTGGAGAAGCTTGCTGAGTCTTGGCTGGGTGAAAATTGCATCCGAGCTGCCACGATCTCTGGCGCAACAGTGTCGGGTGATCCAAGACGGTCGTTGAGCCCATCGCCTGGCGGTGAAGCTTACAAGCCTCGTCACCCCATCACAAAGCCGCATTTGTTGGTCCTCGTCACGATAGCTAGCACGAGCGAGGGGAACAACATCAAAGGGACTGGAAGATGAGAGCATGATCGAGATCGAACGCGTCTGAGGCCAAAAAAGAGTGGCTGTATTGACTGTGCAGAATCTACCGACCACCCCCGTACGTACAGACACAGAGAAGACGGAGACAGACAGACGAAGACAGACGGAGACAAGCGGAATCAAACGGATCCACGGGTAAGTCGACACCAACACACACACACACCAACCACACCACCAACACCAAAGCGACACACACACACACACACACACACTCACACACGCCCGTGGTCACAAGGCCTTCATGTGAAAATGTGGTAATTAGATCTAGAGAGGCATGTCGCAAAAACAGAATCATGACTTCTCAAGCTTTCAGCCTTTGTCGTGGGCCGCAAACCCAAAGTCGCACAGCTTGAAGATCTCAGAAGCAGACAGGGCTGTGGGTACAACTGGGTCTTAGACCCATACAAAAAGCCGCAGCGTGACTTCGTACAGCTTCATCTCTGCTAATAAAATGCAGCATTTCAGGCCCAGGCATTTTCTTCAACAGGCAACTCCATGTGCTTCAGCAGAATGTTCTCGCACTGCGGCAGCAGAGCACATTGCACCAACAACAGCCTACTTTTTCCACGGCGGCAAGGCTTTCAAGCTACGCTTGGTCTGGAGTTTCATCTTAACTCAGAGCTGCGGACTGCTGCGCTGCTGCCGGAACGTCACTTTTCTTGCGCGACTATTTGCTCCGATGAGCTCGGCGGCGGCGCAAGGTCTCTTCTTTGGCCTGCAAGGCATTGCCGCAAGTTTTGACTTGAGCACAAGAAGACAACGAGGTGTTCAACCTGCTGCTGCTACGCTCAGCCCAGGCACCCCGACCTCTTTAGATCTGTCTTTTCGGACAGCAGCATGAGACCTCCGTGCTTTGCAGTCTGCAGCAGTCGGCAAGTAGTAGCAGTACACTAAGGTGTTTCGGCGACACATCATTTCGGCTCTGCTGTGTGCCACTTGGCCGCATTTGCTGCTCTTACTACATCAGGACTTGGCCACAGACTTTGCAGGGTTGCCTGGCACGATCTGGAACGTGTCTAACCGAGTCCGGCGCTTGTTGACTCTTCTCAGCTCAGACTGTGTGCTCTTGTTGCGGCGGCCCAATACAAAAAGAACAAGACAAACCTCTGTGTGGTTTTTGAGCGGACAGCTGAATCTCGCATGAACATGCGCCACATATTCGCAAAGGCGCCGTAACTGGAGCGCAGCAAGCGCCAAGCTATGGTTGCCAGGCCTGTCAGATGGTCGTGGACACTAGCTGCAAGCTGAGAATGTTTACCGGACCTGCGTACTCAGAAGTACTGTCCTCGCGCAGAAAACAACTGATCCCCTGGCAGAGTTTCTAGGGTCGCATTTGCACTGGGAGTTCTGATTTCAGCGGCTTGCAGTTGCCTAGCGCTCCCAGGCTGGCTGCCATGAGGGCTCCGGCACTGACTGCTGACCTGCGAGTAAGTGATGCGCACGTACGTGAGATGGTGTGTCCCCTGCTAAAGCTCTGTATTCCCCCTCCCCCCTCCAGCAGCTTTTGAAAAGCAGCGCATACCAGCAGAGATACCAACAAGTGTAGCATGTGAATATGTACCTTGCGGATGCACACGTGTTATTGTATGCTGCGGACTCATGTTGCACAAATTAAGACTACCACTCATGCATGGTCTGAATAGTAGAACTACATGCTGCAGCTACAACCAACAATCCTTCTTCGCCCTTCGTGAGGAGGAACAAACGTGACAACGAAGCAGCAGGCATAACGAATGGAATATCTACACTCGGATGTCGCGGAGATGCAGGGATGAACTCTCTGGGCAAAGCTTCTTGCTGTTCTGTTTCAAGGGTGATTTCAAAAGGCTGGTGGTCTCTGTCACCTTGTCACCTTCAATCAACAGTCATCTCATGCAACAAAAGATTGTCGCAAACGTCGCAAGCAGAAAGACTTCAATACCGCCCTTCTCGAACCTGCTACAAGCCCTGTGTACTTCTTGGTCCGCAGTCGCAAGGATGGATGATGGACAGGCAGACAGAAGGACGCAGCAAAGCGATCATGAAGGCAAAGGTTCTGCCACAGTAAGGACTGCGTAGCTAGCATTGGGGTTGAAAGACGCCGGGTGGGCAAAACCAAGCCATGTAATCAGTCAGACAGGCCAATTGAGAGACAATGTCGAACAAAACACCAAGGGGTGAAATGCACGCTGCCTCCCTTGTCTCCGCCGTCCACTAAACATATGGCAATGACATGGCATGACATGGCATCCCTCGTCATACCTCTCTCCAGCATACTTGCCAAAGCTGCAGTCAAGGAGCAACTTCATTCCAAGGATCTCTACCTGTGCGCTGGAAGGTGTACCAATGTTGCTGTCAGCCACCCACATGCCAGAGCCAAGAGCTACGGAGTCTCTTTGAATGGCCTCAGGTCCGAAAGCACCCTCCTCCCTCAGCAGCTCATTCAAGACCTGT